CACACACACACACACACATGCACACAAGAATGCAGGCAATGTTGTGAGGGGTCGGGGATTGAAGGCCACCCAGGCGAGATGATGCCAATACCCGGTATAGAGAAAAAAGTTTTGCCTCCCTCTTCTCCATCCTCCCCATCAATAATGACAAAGTGTGGGGGAATTTATTCCATTATATTACAGGGCACTGGGTTCCTGTTTGGGTTCAGCATCAGCGTTCCTCGCATCAATAATTATTCGGAAAGAAAAGAAAATTAGTTATTGGACGCAAAATCGAAGAATAAATTCCTTGTGACTAAAACAAAAATTATCACCTGCTAAAACACTTGTATTTTTTTTTTAAGTTCACGATCATCCGGAAAATGTGATTATATGGAAAGAAAGCATCATGAAGGCTTGCTGATTTTTTTGAAAATTTTATTTTGCTCATTTAGATGAGGAATATTCTATTTCTGATCTGTGTTGAGCTAGAGATATTTTCCATGCAGCTCGCAGCAATTTTTTTTTCCAAAAAATTCGGGACTCTTTTTTTATTATATTTTTAAAACCCGTGGTTCCTTAGAACTTCCAGCTGAATCCATGGATTTTTTTCTAGGAAAATTCTGGGACTCTGAGATTTAAATTGGGTCCCATTTGAATCAACTTTGTGAACAAAATTTGTCAAGATTATGAAAACAAATCCTGATGTTAAGAATTCTGGTCAGAAAAAAAAGCATTTCAAATTTTGTAACTAATTCCAAGCATATATTGTATGGGCTTATTCTAGATTATTAAAAAAGACATTATATTCAAATTATGTTTTGTTTCATTATTCAGTGAGAATAAGCACCAAGTAATTGGTCTGAATATAGCTGAAGTTCTGTGCATCATTTAAAATATTTTTCTTGCTCTCTGAGTTTAATATGTTTAAATTCCAAATAGGAACAATGGGTTCATTAAAAATCAAGATGTGCATCTTACACTGTGACATGAGCTACTAGAATATAAATATGCTAACAAGAATCATGTAGAACTGTGTTCCCCAACATTTTTGGGCACACAGACCAGAAAATTTCTGTAAAATGTTTTGCAGACTGGCAAATTTTCAAAAAATGTTTTGCAGACTGCCAAAGTTTTGTAAAATGTTTGCACACTCAAAACAAATTTGCTTGAAATACTCTTTAGCAGATATTGAAAAAGTTTCTGCTGTTTTGCAAAACAAGTAAGTTGAGAACCAATGAAGCAGGTATAGTGGAATGTCTCCAAAGAATTAGGAAGGTGGGCTTGAATTAAAATTTCTCAGAATTAAATATTAAAATAATTCATTCCATCAGGTGAAAATTTGTCTCAAGTTTTATTAGGAGAAAAGCCAACTTTTATTTTTCATGAGATAATTTCAACTACTAGAGTCTTGCAAAAGTTTTTGGATTAAAGACAGTGTAACATCTTTCATTGACAGTTTTGATGAATTTATCATGCTTGAGAAAATTTTCAGCGGACCAGCAAAAACCTTTGCTTGAGTTGGTAACACTAATGTAGAAGACATTTGAGAGTCACAAGCATATGTTGCCTGACTTTCAATGTATAACAATTTTAATTTTTCTTAAACCATACCAGCTGAATGTTGATCCAACAGCAAAAGAGTACCAGTATAAGGAAACATTTAAAAAATATAAAATAGGCTAATGTTGGCATGCTGTTTAAAATGCACATAAATGTAAATTTTTCTTCTTTCTCAGAAAGAGAGATGGGATGGAATTCCCAAACATCCAAGAATGCAGCCCCTCTCAAGGGGTTCCTCAAAATGAGCGCATCCATCTTAGAAACTGCAACATCTGAAATAAAGGGGGGGGGGGGGGGGAGTTTAGTCGCAGCTGCTTCAGAAAGAGCTCCCAAGTCCAGACATAAGAGGAAAGAACCTGGAACCCCTTTCGGACCCAGGGTTGCTTATTGAAAACCCGTCTGTCTAGTGTCGGAATCCGACCGTTTCCCCTTCTTTCATAAAGAAAAGTAAATAAATAAACATTTCCTCTTCTCCTTCCTGCGAAATATGCCCCCACATTTTATTTTTGCAGACCTTATCCCACACTCGCAAGGGTCATCTATGAAAGTTGGGTGGGTGACGTGAACATCACGCTCCATCAATCTCCTTACATATGTGTCAAATAACCTGAGAGCTTTTTTCAAATTTATGGAATTTTTTTTTTAGAGCATAGCAAGTAGATTCAAACCTTGCAAAGTTGCATTAAATCCTGCAAAAATTTAATGAGCTATGAAGAATTTTTCTATTTCTGCTTGTATATAGGGAAATTGTTGTTCCTTTCATTTGTGAGAAGCTAAAAAAAAAAAAAACACACACACA